ATGGTCTGCTCCAGATGGCCAGAACCTCGAAAATCAAAAAAAAAAAAACAAAAAAACAAAACTGCAGACCCCATTGGGGCTCTTGTCTGACTTCGTGGACATGTGGTCTGCAGTTTTTTTTTGGATTTTCGAGGTTCTGGCCATCTGGAGCAGACCATGCAAAAGCCTCGAAAATCAAAAAAAGCACAAAAAAACAAAACTGCAGACCCCATTGGGGCTCTTGTCTGACTCTGTGGACATGTGGTCTGCAGTATTGTTTTTTTTTGTCTTTTTTGGATTTTCGAGTTTCTGGCCATCTGGAGGAGACCATGCAAAAACCTCGATAATAAAAAAACAAAAAAAAACAAAACAAAACTGCAGACCCCATTGGGGCTCTTGTCTGACTCTGTGGACATGTGGTCTGCAGTTTTGGTTGTCTCCTGTTTAGCCTTTCCTGGGTCCCTCTCCATGGGTCTGATTTCTTTTTTTTGCTGGTCTGCTAAAAAAGAAATAAACACTATGTGTTATTCATTTCTAAATAGTTATTAACTCAATTCTAATTTAATGCTATGAATTTTGACTTAAATACAATTTAACTAAATTCTAAATCAATATGTATTCTAATTGAATTTGTTTCATGTCTATTTTTAGTGATAATAAAAGTGGATCTAAATGAATTTTAAACTGTTTTTTTGAATATGTAATAGACTTCTATTGTAATTCTAAATTGAACCTAATTAAATTCTAAATTAAGTTTATGTATTTTTAAAATTCATTATAATCAACTTATAATTCAATTCTATTCTAATTTAAATTTGTTGTAATTGTAATTATCTTTGATTATTATGGATCTAGTATTAAATTCCAAATTGAATTTATATGTGAATTTGCAATATATTTCCAAATTAAATCTAAATTGAATATATTTGCATTCTATTTATTGGAATTCAAATTGAATTTGCAATTTTCATTAAATTGAATTATTTGTAACCTAATTTTATATCAATATTGCAATATTGTTCTATTAATTAATTCCTAGGTTAATATCTTTAATTCAATTCTACCTTAGGTCTAGGTCAATTTCAATTTGAATAATGGATTTTGATTTAATATTATTCATTCAATTCCAATTTAATTCCAAACTATTTCTCATTTAATTCTATTTCATGTTGTTTTGCATTAAAAATTGTAATTTTGTCTATTCCAATTTCCAATTGATTTGTTAATGATTTCTAATGTTAACGTCTTTATATAATGTAAATTCAATTGATCTATATATCATATATCTAATTTTCAAACTTGATTCCAATTCAATGCAAATGGAATTCTACTTGAGTTTTGCTTCCATTCTAGAGAATGAATATTATTGGTGGTATGAATATATTTCATTAAAGAAAGAATATACTTCCATATTGGAAAAATTTCA